CCCAAGTGATGGAGTTTTGCAGGCCAACACGCCCAGCTGTGCACACGACAAATGAGGCCAATTCAAACTCAGATCTCCCAAGTTTGTTTTGGGAGCACTAAGTCATCCAGCACAATGCACAAAAAAAGCCCTCTGCTCAACCTTGCATAGGCAAAAAACTGTGAAGCAGTGAACATACACCACACAGCACATCCCTCTGACTTGCCTGTCTGCTCTTTTAAACTTGAGCTTTTACAAATGTAGTTTTGTTGAAAACATATCAGTCATTTCTGTTTTGTAAGTGAGATATACACAATCAGTCAAACTCATGTACCGTGACACACTGACTTGATGTGAGTGGCTAGGCTCCCATCTCACTGGATGATGACCTCGTCTGCTGTGACAAAAATTCAGTCAGAATTTGGATGGATTTTGTAAATCTTGACAAGGTCTTTTGTACCAGTAGTTTAATATAATAATAATAATAAAAAACAGTGGGTTTCTCCTTATGTGTGACAGGACATGATAGGCTATGAATGATCTGGAGCATTCACAACATTTCTGTAACAAGGACTTTGTGGTTTACTAACATGATTTTATTTTATTCACACGGTCTTCAGTTCTGGATGGAATATACTGTAGTTGGTATCAGTGAAAGTGAATCAATGCCATAGGGTCAGCTCACACTGGTGTGGGCTGGTCATGGAGAAATTAAAGCAGGGCTGACCCTGCTGGCCTCATGCATAGGCTGTGACTCCGTTATACATACGCAAATGTTGGCTGTATTGGGCTATTTTGGCATGATCTTCCAGGGTGTAGCTGCATCTTGGCGAAGTCTGATGAAGTTGTGCGAGTGCAGGGTCAGGGACATTGTGCGACTCATAAGATCATCACAGGAATGATGCTGACATATAGAGAGGTAAAAGCACTTTAAAGCATTTTTGGGACGCAAAGAACATCAGAGCATTGCAGTGTCATGGTTGCCTTTACACTGAAGGAGGCGTTCCACATTTGCCACAATCCTGCCATGTTCTGAAAGGTTGTGGAGAAATACTGAGATGATTATCAAAGGGAAGGGGTGCCTTACATATCTGGCCCTAATTCATTTTTTGTGTATATGTACTGTATTTACTTAAAATCAACAAATGGATCATCAAGCGGGCAGCACAGTGGCACAACTGGTAGAGCTGCAGCCACTCAGCGAGAAGGTTGCCGGTTCAAATCCCTTTCTGGTTAGAGTTTGCATGTTTTCTCCGTGCATGTGTGGGTTCTCTCTGGGTACTCCGGTTTCCTCCCACAGACCAAAAACCTGCATGTTAGTCTGATTGGTAACTCTAAATTGTCCCTAGGTGTGAGTGAGAGAGTGAAGGGTTGTTTGTCTTCTTTGTCTCTATGTGTCCCTGTGATGGACTTGCGGCCTGTCCAGGATGTACCCCGCCCCTCATACAGTGATTGCAGGACATGGGCACCGGTGACTCCCGTGACCCAAAATGGAATAAGCGGGTAAAGATAATGGATGGGATGGATGGATGAATACAGCAACATGAAATCATCAGCAACATGGATAACAGTAGCACATATCACAAATCAAAGTGGCATTTAAGGTACAGTGAGTGGTGACTGCACAAACAGCGGCAGGTTTAAGCCCACATTGCTATACTGTTAGGAGCAATGATTGCAATGGATTGTCTCTGGGGCTGTGGGGAAACTGTGTGTTAAAGTTTCCCAGCAGGTCGGTGAACCGCCATCGACCATTAACTTGCCCCATTAGATCCAGCCAGCTGCACACCTGGCCTGAGTATGTTCCCTCTAAAGTGTTCTTTATACAGCAAAGCCCTCTCTCCCTTTTCTGACATTCAAGCCAATATCAGTGGGGAGCTCACAAGATAAACGATCCTGCAAATGCAGCATTAAAAGTCAAAAACAGGAATATCTTCAGCATGTGGGAGCTCCTCTGTGAAGAGAGTTGGTCCCTTAGGTTTTTTTGGCATACAAGTTGTTTGAGAACAGTCAGGGAAAAAGACCTCAGCAATCCATGCTATCATTCTAGTTTTATACAATGGGCACAGAAGCACTCTGCCAACAGCAAAGTGATCCCTCTGTCCAACAACTTTGAACTTTAAAACTGATTGACAGCAAGTGTCCAGAGCATCGGTTTAAAGCTGACAATTCACAAAAAAAGTGACCGAAATAAAGGAAAACTTTCAAAACTGCTGAAATCCTCCAGAAGATGCCATCTGTTTAGATGAACAGAAGAGAGGGTTGCTTTGAGGCTGCTCTTTTCCTCTGTGTCCTTCATCAGCACTGACTCATTGGTTTCACAGTGCAGAGCTGACATTTTCTTTGGCCCAGAGATCACTTATGGATCATGGTGTTGGCTCCTTTGAGATTGGACCACTGAACAAGTGGACAGGGGTCCAGTGAGTCCTTGTCTCATGTGGACCTTTGACAGCATGTGATTTTGACTGTTGCACACAAAAACATTTGCCAGTCACTTTATGAGTGACATTGCTGACACAGACCTTTCCTCTGTTGTATATTCCACACGTGATGTTTATCTATTTTACTTCTCTTCTACTCAGCATGTTCAGTTCAGAAAAATAAGTTAAGGTCAACAAAGAACTGTGCCTCTGCATTTCACTTTAAACAAGCACCTGCCAAGCTGTATACGTTTTACTTAGTTATTGGTTCATTCATCAGTTAAAGAATGGCTGTTAAGTGTGATGCTTTAAACCAAAAAGGCATGTCCTATTTGATTGTAAAAACTCAGCTGAGCCCTGAATCATCTGCAAAATCTTTGTACTAAGTGGAGGATGTGGAATAGCTTTGTGATGCACCAGTTTCCTACTCCAACACACAAGCAACGTCTATTGTTTCAGCTTGATGCCTTTATTTCACTCGAGCCTTCATGGCAGTCTAGCCTTTCCCAATAAATCAGCCTCACTGCTCTCCCACTGGCCCCGTCAGTCTGGCCAGCACCCAAAGTCAATCCCTTGTGCATATGCTTAAAATTGATACTAATTTCACTGCAACACAAGCTCTCAGATTAAAATGCTGTGGCAGTTTTTGGTAGTTGTGCTGGTCGGTCTTACATGCCATGTTTGCAGTAGCTGTGAGCATGTGTGTGTGGTGGTATCAAACAACCTTCCTCTTGAAAACTGTTGTTACTAGCAAAGTGCAGATGTGCTGACTTTTATTTATAATTACCTAAAACAGGGACTACACAAAATAAATGAGTAAATACACACACACACACAAAATGCTAAAGCTCACATAATGCATTGTGTGCATTATGACAAATAAGTTTATCGCAACTAATAATCCGAAACATGAGAGTCAACATTAATATTTTTTGTTTTTCTAATATAAATGGTAAATGGACTGTACTTATATAACACATTTTGATCTATTGAAGTTACTCGAAGTGCTTTACAACACACTCTGTGCCCTCATTTACCCACTCATACATCGCTCTACTAGATCTACAAAGCTAATCTGAATCTGTAGAAACTTTAGATCACATTCTGATGGGACTGATGGGACACACATTGGAGGTTCAGTTTCTTGCCCAGGGACATTTCAACATGTGACTACTGGCGGAATCAAAGCACCAACTCTCCCATTGGAGGACGACTTCTATAACCACTCAGCCACAGCCGCTCCGCAAAATGCATCTTTACCTAAAATAGCTGCTGTTGATATAAAAATGTAAGCATCCATTGGACTTAAAATTGCAGATTTTGTTAGAAGTAATTAAAAGTTATTTTATTTTTTTATTTTTTTTGCAACATAGCTTGACTTACAACACCAATAGATCTGTCAGATTTGTTTATTTATCTTACACTCTGTTAATCCCCAGTGGGAAAATGAATTTTCTGCATTATTCTCTTTGCACATGTGAGTACACCTGTGTACAGGAAGACACTGCAGAAAAATGTGGCCCAAATCCAATTTTTTGCCCCATGCGACTCATATTGGATTTTTTCACGACAGTCTGAATGTAACAAGTCAGCTTTTTTTCAAACCTTACCCTGTTCTTTTTCATATGTGGTACTGAATCCAATGTTTTTCAAAGTGACTGCAGTCTAAATGGTCACGTCTCATTTTATCTGACTTTGTCAGTGAGGTAGTGGTGAGTGGATTCCAACCTCGTGGAGTTTAAATTTGTAAATCGACATGTCATCAGCTGCAGAACATAAGTTCAATTGCTTCATTATTGTTCTTTTAATGTAACATGGCCTGAAAATGAGAATCTACAGCAACATATTCATATTTGTGTTGGATTGTATCAATATTAATGTGATGTGATCGATACTTGAGTTTGTTTTCATTTTTAGCACTTTGCTCCCGCTCCAAAAATACAACGCTGAGTCGAAGTATTCGTCAAGAGGTCAGATTAAATGTAAACACTGGACCAAAAAATCATGTCATATAATGATTTCACTGGTTCTGATTGCAAAACAATTTCAGAATCCAGCATGTTAACATGTAGCATCCAGGTTTACTTCCTTAGACACAGTGTGCTGCGTGTGACATCACGTTGTCTTCTCCGCATTCGGGTCACCTCAGGACTGTAAATGGTTCATACTGGAGTCTGATGGAGGCCATTGTCAATGATATTGTGAAGGACAATGCCAAAAAAAAAAAATATATAGATCTGAGCAAAAAAATTGAAATTGAGCAACAGCACTTGCAGTGTGAATGTAGCCTAAGGCACCTGGGGAGCACTTGGATGGTTAAGGGCCTTGCTCAAGATCCCACAGTGGGTCAAATAAAGTTAAAGGCAGATGTGAGTGGTTCCCACACAAATTTTAGTGCCGGTCTGGGGATTCAAACCTGTAACAGCCCTACCACAGGCTTGCCTTCTCTATTCTCTGTGCCATCTCTCCCAGGCTTTGAACTCCTGGTCAAATCTTTCTGTGCATTTTTCATTATGTTGTGTATTTGCCTGCTACTTCAATTGGATTTGTCCATCCAGCCATGACCTGCTTTTTCATCTTTTCATCTCTCCTCTATTTCAGTTCTACTCAACCTGCTGTCAGTGGGTGCTCAGACGGAGATGAAAAAGGTTGTTGGGGACAACGCTACCTTACCATGCCACCACCAGTTCCCATCATCCAGCTCTCTTGACATTGAGTGGCTACTACAGAAACCTAATTTCAAACAGAAAGTGGTAAGATTTTGCTTTTTCCTACTTACTTTAAGCCTGTTTTTATTTCATTACCAGTATATCAGTAGGATAATAAATACTTATTACAATATTGTAGAGATGTTCCATAATTTATTTTCTAAACTAAGCGCTCACAGAATGAAGTGTTCATTGATCTAAATTAGTTGTTCATTAACTTTTTTTAAGCTTTCTCAGTTTGGGGTTGTTGTCAAACCAATTTATTTGATTATTGGGGTAAAATAAAGCAAACAGGAACAGGAAAAATCAGCAGTTTTAACAGTGATGACTGTGTCCTGATGCATGCTCAATAAACCAGGTAGAAAAATCTAAACAAGTTAAGTCTGGTCCTCTGGACATTCAAAAAACAAAACAAAACAAAAAGTAGAGTTCTGTATGTGGTGTTCTGAGCTGCCAACTAAAGGGATGAGTACAGACGCCGGATATTTGGAAACATTGTAAGTGACAGAGTTAATCATGCTAACAATTGGTCTTAAAGGTACACCTTATTTGTGAATTTTAGGTAAACTATACAGACTAGGTGTGGCCTCCCCTGGGTACAGTCTGTGGTACAGAATACGGTCAATAGCCTTGTCCTGCTCCAACATTTTCAGGCAATCTATCAACTTCTTCTTGTAGCCACTTCCTAGATCTCTTTTCGGTGGTTCATAAGTGGTACGGTTTGCTATTCATATAATTATGTATGCGTAAATATGATAAGAAAATAGGATTACATAATATAGCCTGGTACTTGCCAGGTACGTATGGGGTACTTACCTCATACTTCTATGGACCGGACTGTTTTATTGTACTTTTATGGTACTTGCGTGGTACATTTCCAGTAAATACCCAGTAAGAATAAGGTTGTATTTTGCATTGCTCAGATATAGGCTAGTTAAACAAAAAAACATCTATGTTGGCAATCTAGAGCTTGACTAGTGATATGGATGTTTATGGGATCAACCTTTCCAGCAACCTCCTGAACCTGAAGAAATAGGCTTCCATGCACGAGATGGAAAATAAGGAATTTCCAAGCCTGAATTCATAGAGGTAACCCATGGAAACAAGACTCCATGGGAGAGTTGAAACTGTCTCATAACTGCTACGGACTTTGCATATTTTATTTTGGGCCCATCTAATGCACTGTTTTGCTTGTACAGAAAAATAAACTAAAATTGCAAAGAATAACAACAATTTGGTCATTTTAACTAATCCTCACACTCATGGGCACATCCAGGATCTTACTCTCATAAGGATGTGTGCTGAATACATCCAGCCGTAGCTGGAGGCACATATACACACAACCATGCGGTGCAGGTTATACTCACATATCTGTAAGTAATAAATGTCCACACAGTTAATAAAAACAACTGAAATGTGCTCATATTCAGATATTTTTAAAAAACATGCAAATGTATATAGTTTATTTGCCCAGACAATTCACTTTGCACAGTACTGCATGGTTGTTAGCATTCATAGAGCATTTTATTAGAAACAACAACATGTAAGTGTTTGGGTACATTCATGTGGAACTGGACATTGGTCACCTGTGATCCCAGCAGGTGCTCCTGTTTCTTAGGCACTGATGTGCTCTGGCACAAGCATTTAGCAGTCCTCTCTACAGGCTCTCACTTGCCCTGAGTAACAGGGCACTGTGACAGCTGCGTTTGGGTTTCTTTATGTTAACGGAATAAGAAAGAAAAAGAGAGAAACATAGATACACATAAGTATTATAAAACTAACACAAAAACAGAAAAGGGCACAACACAAACAACATTACCAGTACATGTAAAGGGTGAAACTTCACATCAGTATTCTTACGTCCCAGCTGGTACTAATTATGGATAACTATTTGTGAGAAGATAATAAAAAAAAATAATAATGAATGGACTATCCTTTTAATCCAAAAAAGTTAAGTCAGGTCCTCTGGATGGTTTCTTTTTTTGTTGAAACGTTTCATCCTTCTTCCAAAGGACTTCATCAGTCCTAGGAGGCACAAAACTCACTATCCCTTTAAGTTTACCCACCTAAATAATCACGTTTATTTATTTAGTATGGAATGCTTTTATTTCAGAATCACAGCTTGTAAGTGGAAAACATGTAATTTCCTTTTAAAACAAACTAGCTCCAGTGAAATATTACAGTGTCTAAAAATATAATATTACATTATGCAGTTTGTCTTGTTTCTGTGTGGCCTGTTATTCTGTGCTAACATCACATCTGTGCCACTGTGGGTACTTTAATCTTTTATCAGTACCAGAATAGATTTTTCCACCCTTTTGTTTGGTCAGTTTGACAGCTTTGCTTGTACAAAGACCATAAGGAGATAAAAGCTCCCACAGATAATCAGCTAAAGGCTGCCAGGATAGTGGCATTCCAGTAAATGCTTTCATATATTTGTCAAAGTACTCTTTGCCCATGTGTTAATTATAAAGTAATTGTTAACATTGTTATACATACAGCGAGACCTGGGATTCTGAATATTTCAAGACGTCAGCTTGTGAGGGACTGTGTGTCTCAGTGGTGCATAAAATATATTTGAAGTTCTGTGATGTTTAACGTTATTGGCAGTCTACCAGTAAAACACATCAAGAGTATTACTGTTGAAATGTTCCAGTGACGTTATGCAAATGTAGTGTTGATTTAAAACTCTTATTTAAAGAAATGGTTGCACTGATTTAAAATATTTACTGAAAACAATTAATGTTTAAATGAATATGCAAGGTCCAGGAACTAATTAAAGATTTCTTAAAGGGAAATAAAAACACTTGTTAAGATTTCAATTTAGCCATTTATGCCATCAGCTAGCTCCTAGCTCGGATTTGCTTCAAAAGGTGGATGGAAATCCATGAACCCTGCACAAAACATAGCACTTTGTGATGAATGGAAAAAGTATGATCTAGCCTGACAGCTATTATTCAATAAAATCTTTTTTTTTCAGGCTGGATTTTAGAATAAATCAGTCGATTTTTGTGTGTATAAGTGTTTACAGGTGATCAAGCAGAAGGTGCTATCTTGAGTTATTAAGTTCAAGATAGGCAGATAAACGATAATATTGTCTGAAGAAGAAATGTTGGTTAATTTTATTTTGTGTGTAGTACCTGTTTTAACCACTGGATGGCAGTATAAGACTGTTTGAACCAAAGGATGATAGTGAGGGAGCAGCAGTGTGTCTTTTTAAGAAAAATGGGAGGGAGGCCTTTTGACATGACATGGGCTGTATCTTCTTCCTTTTTTTTCCGGTTCTCAAAATGGCAAATGCTTGGTGTGGTTTGAGCTCTTTAGCTTAACATTTTTCACACAAAGCTTTTAGTAAAAAAATCAGCAAACAAGTTCTCAGCTTCTTTCTGCAGAGAAAAACAACTTTTTACACAAAGGCACAGGTTTCAATTGTGAATTTTGGAGCTTCGACAAGCCGGAGGTTTTTTCCCGAGGTAGGCCTGTTAGCTTAGCTCGTAGCTTATCTTTTCAGCTTAGCTGCTTTTAACGATCCAAGAACACGATTTTGGACAATTAAAACAGATTTGAAAGAGAAAGGGAGGGGTCAGAGGAAAGCACCGGAGTTTAGCCTTTTGTCATCCAGTGTCAGTACAAAGAGAGAGACACAAAGAAACGATAAAGCCGATAAATGAAAATGAGGTCGATAATTTTCATTTTACATGCGATTAATTGATTTATTGTTTATCGCGACAGGCCTAGTAACTCCTACTGGTATTTCCTGTTCAATTCCAGTTCAGAAAAACACTAATCTCCAAAAACTACAAACATTCAATATTCAAATCCCTCAGTGACGGAGGACATCAGACAGTTTGTTACCTCTTACTGAGCTCTACTTAACTTTGGACAGTACTGTTCCAATCTCCTGGTTTACCACACCATCATATGTCTGTAATATGTAGTGCGTTACCTGTTTTGGCGGCTTTCTTTGGAAATAAATATCACTAGTGTCAGAAGTCAAAATGTTCCTTGAAATGAGATAGTGGCTTTTGTTGAAATTGGTTAGTGATTAAATCTCAGTACTCAGCCTGCAGAGGCAGATTATACATGAATTACTGATGGTTATTATCATCTAGTTGATTTTTACCTGTATTTATCATTTAGTGGAAGTGGCTTGTCGTATGAGCTAACTAAATTTATGTCCCTGAGTGGCAGAGTCCAGGTTCCCTGAGGGTCTTAATCCTGTTTAGGACATTAGAAGGTTGTCTCACGAGACAATTTCAAATATATTGGCAAAAAGTAAACATGAGATAACAACAAAAGTGAATGGAATTCCTTTTTATTATATTTTTCACATCTAGATTATTACCTTCTTTGGAGGCCAGGTGTACACCAACGAGGCCACAGACAGCGAGGCCAGCCGTCTGTCCTTTGCCGGGGAGTACCTGGGTGGGGACGCCTCCCTGCTGATCAGTGACCTGCTCCTGACTGACTCTGGAGAGTACTACTGTAAAGTCAAGAGCGGTGGAAAGTACCTCTGGAGCCAGGTCAGCCTCATTGTGCTGGGTGAGTATTTTCCGTGTAAATGAAAAGGCGTCACGATGTAAAGCTCACACATGGCGTGCACCTTCATGTTATGCAGAACCTCATTTGTACTCTGAAAACACCTTTCTCTCACGCACACGCATGTGCAGGTCTAATCATGAGATCGTTAGCCTGGCACGTTTCCTTCATCGTGCTGACTGGTCTAATTATTCAATTTGATGCAGACGCTGTGATTTGATTTTGCTCATGCTGTTTGGGTTCGTTTGGATTGCTTTCTTGATGGGAAGAGGCCAGAAACATAGAAGAGGGCTTGGAAGAGCACAAAAATTGTTTGACGACTTTGGAGATTTAGAGCAAATATCAAGTTCAATTCTGCCATGCTTTTGTCTGCTGTTAGAAAACAAACAACAGGACGTTCTCTATGTATGGTCAGCTGGTGTTCAGTTGATTATGACACTGAAAAGTGTGAACTTTAACTAATGCTATCACACTATATGCACTTCTGGAATAGTGTTAGAGCTTTTGAAGGACATAAAGTAAGAAGGAGCTGCTATACCACCAAAGCTAAAAACACACAAAGTCCAGCGGGAGGAGCAAGACTGTTCTCAATGTCAGGAAAGTAGGCGATTTAATAAAACATCACGGGAGATTAGTTCAACCAGCAGTTATTGGTTTTCTAATGGAGCAGTCTGTTAATCCCCTCGCTCTCACCCGCCTCTCACTTCCATAAAGACAGTCCAGTAACTTAAAGCCTCAGTTGTTACAAACTGCCTTCAGCTTTGCTGTGACACTTTGGGGTTTTGAAGAGAGACGAACAGTTGAAATTCCCCCTCCCTCCTCACACTAAGACAATAACCTGGCAGCTGGTTTGGCATAAGACAGTGAATGGAAGTGTTTGCTTGTTTAAGTTTGCAAAACTAAACTTCTGCACTCTCAACTGCTCCTGCTGCTGTTCGGTCGTACTCGTTGTGACAGAGCTGACAGATGCTCAGCACTCCTCAATCAGCTCCTCTCATTATACAGCGTACTGTGTGTGAGCTGATGGCATTCTGCCTTTGACATACTCACAATGTGTTACCGTGTCAGTTACTTCTACTGAAATGTGCTCACAAGCAGCAACCCCCTCCACAAAGTCAACACTGCTAATATGACAGTTGAGTTGCACAAAGCCAAAACACATATATAAATTTAGTTTGCCATGCACCTAAAACTATGTCAATTGAGAGCAAGACAACTGTGCTCTATTTTCTTTTTATAGCGTAGCTGTGCCTCTCAGCAAGTAGCTAAACAGAGCAACTATGCAGATCTCAGCAGCTACACTGTGCTGCGCCTCCAGCTGGGATAGACTCAGTGACCAAACCTGTTGACCAGAGGTTGATTTTCTGTTTGTGTCACCACAAACAGCTTTAAAATGACCTTATCCATTAATATACAACATCAAGTCAGTCAAATAACGTTTGGAATTTTAATTTACAATTTAGCACTTGTTTTTTTTAAGCATGAGTTCTGATTTTTTTTTTTTAAATGAGGTTCTTTGGAGAGATGATGAATGATGTATTTTCTTTAAATGGCCTCAGTTTGGAGAAAAAAAAAATCTAATCAAAATGGGGAGTTGTCAAAACCAAAGTGGATCAGTTCACAGGAGCACTATTTTTTAAAACTTTTACTTTGCCATCGATACCCCACTGTTCATCTGTTTACATAAAATGATGTAGTTATTTTACTAAATCAAATAGCTGTGACAGCAACAGTAGACTGTTGCAGGTCTGGTGCAACTTTGGGCCTTTCAGTCTAGAAAATGACCCTCTAACTGGTCGACCAGTTAAAAATCAATAATTGGTCATATCTGTGCACGCATCACCGATTACCAAGAAGATGAACCAACTTACTGTAGTCCACAGTTTGTGTTTCTTTGTTTACAGTGGTGGACAAAGTACTCAATTCTAGTACTTGAGTAAAAGTATTGATACATATGGTGAAATCTTAATCAACTACTTGTAAAAGTTGCTCAGTCAAAAGTTTACTCAAGTTAAAGTACTGAAGTACTTACTTTTGAAAATACTTAAGTGTTCAAAAGTGCATGCAGTTGAAAAATACTCAAGTATTTAAAAATATAAATTATATTTTCTAATATCAGTACATTGCTGTATTGTTTTGAGTGATTTAACAGAACCTTTGTAACTCTGAAACCACGTGATGATGTATTGGCATGTAGAACCACTCTAACACCACATGCGTTAATAAAGCTGTAAACTACAAATATCTTCCCTGCATTTTACGTTTGTGGAAAGTCATGGAAATCCTAACAGATGATGCACATTTAGTCTTTTCTTCAGTTTTAATATCCATATACTGCATTGTGTATGTGTGTAAAAGTGTGTATGTTGAGGAGAGGAAACAATAACACTGATAACTGAAAGTTCTGCCCTACTTAACATAGACGCTTACAAAACAATGAATGTTCTGCACAGAATACCTGAATCAGCAACTGGTCAACTGCATTTAAGGAAAGAAAAACAGTGACAGTGGATTACACAGCTGAGCCTAAAGGAACAAGAAGCTTCATAGAAATGTAGTGGAGTGAAAGTCACAAGTTTCCCAAAACACAAATCCTCAAGTAAAGTAAAAAATACTAAGAAAATGTACTTAAGTACAGTACTCAAGCAAATGTGCTTCGTTACTCTCCACCACTCTTTGTTTACAAGAATGCTCTTTAATGTTACTTTTAAATGTACAATACTTAGTTGTTAATTATTTTACCTTTACATTTGTGTTTTATGTTATACATTTGTTTAAGTTAAACAATTATTATTATACTTTGTCAAATGAAAAGTACATATAGTACATATCAAAATCTGTGTTGTGCATCAGCCTTGGGCTGCACTGACTCCAAAGAATCAGTATCAACATCAGCCTTAAATAAATAAATAAATACATAAAAAAGCAACAGCCCAACCTTAAAATGGTCAATGTATATTTCTGTCTAGAATAATAAATATGTTCTGCCAATGACTTTGTGAAACTGTCAACTTTCTAAAATAGTGTCTGGATGAAGTGCTATAAAACTGTTATACCTGGAGTAAGCTAGTAACAGTCTACTTTAATCCTGGCTTTACTCAGACTATCTGTTAAATCATCAGTCCAATCAAAAAGAAAAAAATCAAAAAAATGCATAAACACATCAGCACTGCTCTGCATGTAAACATCTGGAACAAAGATGTTGCACAATCAGTCTACTGGTTTTTGAGATATTTTCCTAACATACAAACACATGCACTGCTTTGCTGTACTTTAAAGTTCTTGTTTAAACATAACTGTTTTATTATGCTATTTTTGATTGTGTTATTTATTACAAAGAAAGTCTATTAAACTTTTTAATTATCTGTACTCAGATAGTCCACTACAATATTTATATCTAGAGAGGATTTATTTACCAGTTTGCTTTTTTGTGTGGTTTCCACTCAAGTATAATAATAATATTAATAATAATACGTTCTAAATTAAACATGTGGTTCAGTTTGAGAGTCTTTTGTTGTTTGTGTCCATGTTTGTTACTCAGTCAAGCCCTCGAAGCCAAGGTGCTGGATGGATGGAAAACTGTTGGAGGGCAGTGATGTCAAGCTGAGCTGTAAATCCAGCGACGGTTCAGACCCCATCAGCTACAAGTGGGACCGAGTGCTCGACAAAGGCAAGAGTCTGGGCAAGCTGCCAAACCTGGCACTGATAGGTAAGAAAAATAGTGCTAAAAAAAAGACGAAAGGAAAGACCATTTTATTACATGCTGATTCGCCATTCAAGCCCTCTGCAGAGGACTGCTGAGAGAATTATTTTTATATTAGTAGCTTTTCGGTTTTATGAGTTCCAGGAGCGGTTTTGCTGAGCACACCTCCTTTACTGCACTCCCCTTCTTGTCTTTACCTTCATCCATTTGTAAACACTGGCACCTAAATCTGCCAACATGAACCCCATCACCCAAACACTGATCCTTGAGCTGCTTCTTTACAGTAATTAAAAGTTACAACCCTTAGCCCAAGGGCACTTAGATGCACTCAGTTTTTCTTTTTTATTCCGCTTGCCATTAATATGTTTGGGCTACTGTGATTCTCTTCAATTATGAGCAATAATCCTGGGGCCATAAATATGTCTTTTACTAAAGCAAGGAATTGGGCTGACACTGGGATCTAATTTATCTGAAATGTCATCTTGGCTCAAGTGAATCATCGTCATGCATTACAGCAATGTGAATCTTTTCTGGAACTGAGGTTAGGTAAAAAAAAAAAATCTAATATAAAACTGAAAGGATTTGCAGTTATTTTCCATACCCACTAACCAAACTAACAGATATATATTCCCCTCTCCACTCATGTGGATTTTGACTAATTTATTTGATGTGCATGAGCCAGTTTCTGTTTAGAGACAGTGTTACAAAGTAGCAATACCAAAACACTTGTTTTTTATTAATTATATTGCTCCTATAGTTTAAATGCCTAAAAACAAAATAACAAAGAAGTGGTTTAATCTACCACCCTAAATTAAAAAAAAAAAGTTGATCACAAATTGTATTAAAAGCTGCCCAAAGTGGAAGAAAATGCTGACAGTCATTTCAGAGTGACTGTCTACACGTTACTTTTCATTCATTCATTCATTCATTCAACCTTTATTTATACAGGTTAGTCCCATTAAACCTCGGGGACTCGTTTACAAGAGAGACCTGATTTTAACAAAGAGTGATGACGACAACAAAGACAATAATAGACAATCATAAAAGAAAACATACAAATGAAAGAAAATGGTATTTAATAACGAAACAAAAACAGCTAGGTTGTAAGGCGATGTAAAATACTAAAAACAGGAACATGTCTACATTGGTTTTTGTCAAGAACTTAACAGATGTTTGAGTTAAGGTCGAGAGCTTCAATCAATCATCAATCTCCTTATTTGTGTCTGTCAATTAAAATTATAATAACTTTACATGTTAGGTATTCTGGCCATATTTTATATGTAATACAAATAGGTCATTGTATTTAGGCTGCAGTATTTTATGTTCATTCATTCCTGTTACATAAACAAATAGATCATGTTTTAGATTTTTGTTTTAATAGTGCAAAACCCTGAGTTTTTTCCTAAAGTTATCAAAATCTAATACAGACCCTTGCAGTGAATGTAATAACACACATGTGCCTCTGTATAATAACAGTTTCTGTAGACAGGTAAAAACATCCCATGATACCAACGTCCCTGTCTCAGTTTTCACTCCAGTGGAATCCATGACGGCCCGTTTCCAGACAAAATCTTCAAGATAATGACATCCACCAAACACCACCTGCTCAGTTTAATTTGTTTGCATTGTGTGGACACACACAGCATCAGCAGTCACTCTTTATATGTAGTGAAGGCACCACAGGGGTGTCGGTGGTGGAGATGACTGAATACCCCATGAGGTCTCCATCTCTCATGCTTCCTCAAATTTTTGACAGTGGGATGGATCTCATTTAAACACATCCCGTTGTGCATTTTCTCTTTGTTTTGTAATTTATTAGATATGATGCAAAAATAATAGCCTTGCTTTGTTTTGGTTATAGAAAAATAGATGATTCTATTATAATGTCTATAGATGATAATCAAGTTGAACAAGTACATGAAATAAAATTTTTTAGGGGTTGTTTTAGATCATAAACTTAACTGGAAATCTCATGTAAACTATATAAAACTAAAACTATGCAAACGTATTGGACTTCTAAATAAAGTAAAACATGTTTTAGAACTATCAACACTACAGACATTATATTATTCATTTGTTGTTCCATATCTGACTTATTGTATAGAGGTATGGGGCAACACATATAAAACCAACACTAAACCGTTGTCTGTCTTACAAAAGAAAGTTATGAGAATTTTATATAAAGTGGACACTAGAGAACACACAAATAAATTGTTTATTTAGTCAAATATCTTGAAACTAAGGGATCTGGTTAATTTAAAAATGCTATTGGTTATGTTTAAAGCTAGAAAGAGATTGTTGCCATTTAATTTACAAAAGTTCTTTTTCTTAAGTTCATGTGATAGAAATAACAGAAGGAAGTATGATTTCAAAAGTAAAACTGTGCGTACTACTTTAAAACAAATGTGCATTTCGGTGCATGGAGAAAAATTATGGAACAGTTTGTATGAGGAGTTAAAAAAATGCTCTACGATAAACCAATTCAAAACACTTTATAAATAAAGAATGATTAACTCTTGTACACTTTTAAGTTATTAATAGAAAGAGTGATATATTGTTATGCATGTTATTGTTGTTGCTATATTCTTTGCAACTTGTTTTGTTAATTTAATATATACGGCCATGACATTTTTGTAATTATTGATAAGGGGGCAGGTCTATACAAGATTTTCTTCTTCCTGCTCCCCCTTCACTCGTGTAAATAAGTGTTGTCAGAGAATGTGTTTGTAAACTGATGATAATTTTTTTAATCGAGTGAATAAATTGATTGATTGATTGATAGATTGATTGATTGATTGATTGATTGATTGATTGATTGATTGATTGATTGAACCCCCAGATTTAAAGAATCCTGAGCTCGTCACCCTGAGAAATCTCACCATGGAGAGCACAGGTGTCTACAGATGCACAGCAAGCAATGACGTGGGAGAGGAAAACTGCACCATCGAGGTTACAATGCAGCGTGAGTTTTTAAAGGACTTGGGAGCAACATGCACCCCCCTCACATAAAAGTGGTCTGCTTACTGGTGGTTACTGTTTCATACTGCAACTGGAAATCCATTATTATCTTCTCTGCCTTTTTGAATCTTCATGCATCTTAATCTCCCTTCAGAATTTGAACACTTGACGTGGTAACTACTACTGTATTTTCCAGCCTATAAGTCGTGTTTCTTTGCATAATTTGCATGCTCTGCAACTTTTACACTGAAGCAACGTATTTATGGATTTTTCCCTCTTATTTATAAACCAATTTTTGACTGAGATATGACCGTTTTCATTCATTTTGGACTGAAAATATTGAACACTACCATTTTCAGCCACTAGATGGCACTTGAGTTGTATGGCATGCCGTTGTGTCATGTAATAGGTAAAAGTGGCTATTAATGATACAATTGGCTTGCCTTAGCCTGTCACCTTCGTCCAGCTCAGGGATCATGCCTGAAGCATGGGTAAAATCAGCTCCATGCTGTTGCGCCGCCACGGCGAAATGCAGCAGATTTGACTACTGAAGTGCATTTACTAAGTAAAAGTTCAACTGAGACACACCTTTACTATAATGTTGAACAAAAAAAATTACTGTTTTAGGTGCTTATCGTGTTAAATTTCAAAGAAATGCACAGCGTTCATCCTTCCTGATTTCCTACCTCTGCATGCTCCTGGAGCACCAAGGCAGCGAATACTTTTGAAATACAGCTGATTTTACTATTAAAGTGCATTTATTAAGTAAAGGTTCATCTGAGACACACCTTTACTATAAAGTTGAGCAAACAAATAATTGATTTTCAGTGGTTAACTTGTTAAATTTAGAAGAAATGCACAGCGAGTCGCCCTCTATACGCTTCCGCAAATCGGCTTTTGAAATGCAGCTGATTTGACCGTCAAAGTGCATTTATTAAGCAACAGTTAGACTGAGACACATCTTTACTATAATTTTGAGCAAACAAATAATTTATTTTAAGTGTTAATCTTGTTAAATTCTTGTTAAAGTCCTCCCAGGCACGCTCCTGTGGCCGCCATTAGGCAGCCAATCGATTTTTGGCACAACACCGGCACACATTTCTGGATTGTCAGCTATGACGCAAAATAAAGGTGACTTATGCAGCTGAGCGTCATATTTATGCATTTTTTCCAGTTTATTAGACATTTTTGGACTGATGCGACTGATGCGACTGATGCGACTTATACGGCGGTGTGACGTGTATGGCGGAAAATACAGTAGTATCACCATTGCTGCAAAGGCCATATTGCATAGTCACACTAATCTATTCCTTGAAAGTTCCAGGACTGGGTCAAGTGTGGGGAAAATGACTGAACTAGCAGTTCAGCAGGAACAGTTTACTACCAGCCCTGATAGTAGATTAAATTATAAATATTGTGGCAAAAAAGAGGAAGTGATTTCTTTCTTTATTTGTATTAAATGAACTTGTGGAAGAAGCATTTATAAGACTAACAGTTAAATCTGTCAATGCATGTTCTCCTGAGATAGTGAGTGAATCTTTCCCTCATCACTTTCTCCTTTCTTATCCACAGATGTGAGGGATGTTGGGATGGTAGCAGGTGCCGTGGTGGGAATATCCCTCGGAGTCCTCATTGTGATATTGATCATCTGGCTTGTTTTCCGGAGTAAAGAAAAAAAGAAGTATGAAGAGGAGGAAACCCCAAATGAGATCAGGTTCAATTATGATTTTTTTTTTCATTTATGGTCGGTCCATTTACTAGTGTGCACTGAAAATGCAAACTATTCTGGTTCTATTTATCTTTTTATTTTTATTTTCTTCCGTTTGTTTTTTCAACTACACTAGTGCTGCATACTTTGTCCTACTAAACCATTTTTAACTGTAAAGTGAATTCATGTGATGTTGGCTGTGACATTGGGTGCTTGTGCTATGCATGTTTATATATATATATATATATATATATATATATATATATATATATATATAAAGCTTTAATTAAGCTTATACAAATATAATGGAGGTGTGTCAGCAGCTTTGATGTGGTAAAACACTGCCCCCATACTGCAGCTTAAAGTGCAGCAGGCTTTAATAATGTATTAATTAGGTCACAATGATCCAGTAATAACAGTACAAGAATTTAAACATAGATAATATACTTGTGTTTATATATACAGAAATAACTCATTTATACATGTATAAAATAAATGTTTAAGCTCTATGCGAATGACAGTGAGAGTGAAACCAAACATTTAATTTTTTTCCACATGGCGTCTGTCTGTGTGAGCGTGTGTGTTAATCATTTGACTTTCAGATAATATTAATATTTTTATTCACTTTAACAATGCCAGTTTTAAACTGAAAGTAATAGATACAACTTTAAAGTGAAATAATTTCACTTTTAGATAATATTCTCATGAAATTAATTTTACCATCTTAAAAATGAATGCAATAATTAGCAGTATAGTAACATAATTATTTTTAATATTTATTTTTCACTAATCTCAATCACAGATAACATAATTTGCGCAGAGTTTTTAAATCAGGGTGTTCTCAGCCTCCTCAGTCATGGTTTGGACTTTAAGGAAGTAAACTCAACAACTGGTTACAGACACAACTTCTCAGGGCTCACACACACACACACACACACACACACACACACACACACACACACAC